CTTGCAGGGGCAGGAGGGGAAGATCCCGATCCCGGAGAAAGCATCCGAATCCTAGGTACTGACCTGTCGGACGGAACCTAGTACCTTGGGAAAGCGGAGGCAAAGCCTTCCCAGCTCAGCGGGCTTCCTGGATGGCCAGCTTGTAGCGGGTCCAAAACCTCAAGGCCTCTGTCCTCCCCCGAGGCCACACCGAGGGGCTCAGACAGTGGAGTGCCTGGAGCTTCATCGCTATCGGTGGTACCCGACTGCCCTGGCCCTAATGATTCGCTTTATTTGGTACAGGCAGGTGGTCCTTAGGAAGCTGATTCGGGAACAAAGTGGACCGAGACCCGGCTTGGGCCACTTGTCAGAGTGTCTCTGCCTGAGAGGCAGTCTTCAGAATTCAGGTGCCGGCCTGTGCTAGATTTTATCTTATCCCTGACCGGGGTCGAGGGTTGGGAGTATCTAGAGAAGGTCTGCCTAAATGTCCTTCCTTGTGTCGGGTGGCCTTTGCTCATCAACCAGCCATCTAAGCAGGCAGGGACGCGGTCTTGCTGTGACTCCATTGGAGGGGCCCCAGTCTGCTCTTTTACACTGGGATTTCACCCTCCACCCTGGAGAAATTATTTCCCAACCTCAATCTCACAGACACCAGCAGACTTTCCACAAGAGACTCCACTGGAGCAACATATGGCGGCCTTAGCCTTTGCCAGGATGCTCTAGGCTGGGGCCACTGCTTGGCTCACAACTCCCACCCCTAAACTCGGGGACAGGAATTCTTCCTTCCTTCTGCATCATCCGGAGGTGGCCAGGAGGTGCAGGTCTCGCAGTGAGGGCTAAGTTGCAACAGGTTGGGATCAAGCAGTGAGAAAAGAAGAGGTTAGCCTGGGCCAGACCAGGCACATTGCTCTTTGGTGGAGGTTCGCCCATTTCAGACTAACCTCTGTACCCCTAAGAGCTCTGGGCACTTACCATCTCTCCGACTGGCACACCTCTGTATTCAGTCACTCTCTCAACTTACAGCAGGCATGTCTAGCCTCACCATCCTCTTGCACACAGTTACCCTTCTTTCTGGACACTCTTGAGGTCTCAGTCACCCCAGCTCAGACGGCTGAAGTCCCAGGGATAGAATGGGGACAACTCCAGTTTGGTTCTTCCTGACGGGTCCCTCAACACAAAAGTCTTCGTCTTTCTTCCAGAGTTTCTGCACATTCTGAGAGCCAAAGAGCTGTGGAGGCGATTGATTCCCGATTCTTTGCTCTGCCATAGGCACCCAGGCTCTGCTGTCCTTCTAGAAGCCCAGTGTTTTCTTCCCACGTCTTCCTGGCTCTGGTTACTCTTTCCTGGCTGTAGATGCCAGAATCACCAACTGCTTCACAGACAGGGACAGATGCCGCTCCCTTAAAGATTCTGACCCAAGTACCCCAGAAGACCACCAGCGCAGGCAGAGAGGGTTTGCCCCTCTGAACCCCCTCCCGCCCCGTGGTTCACAGTTTTTAAACCCCAAAAACAGAGTTTCTTTTCAGGTCTCGTCAGCTCTCCCTTATGACTGGATCCTGCTGTCTCCATTTCTGTTCTCACTACAGGCCTGTGTGGCTATGTGGGTACCTGCTTAGGAACAAATTGAAGGACATCCTTGACACACTCTCAAGAGAGCAGCAATGAAGACTGGATAGTCCCATGATGCAGGGCAAAACTCTTTGGCTGCTGGTGGGGTGAGGGTGGGGGGCTGGGGACCTGGGGGTGGGGTGGGGACTCTAAGAGGTGGATGGACGAAGGTCCCTAAGAGTCTTGTTCCAGAGTCTGGCAACACTGGTGTTTGTTTGTTTGTTTGTTTTTAACCAGTCAACATCTGTATAGTATGTCCAGTTCTCATGGTCTAATGGGAACCACAGCTGCGAGTAGCTTATACTGATAGATGCAGTGGACTTCTGCACCCCCTTCCCTCCCAGTGTTTAAATACATCCGTCGCCGCTGGGGGAAGAGTGAAAGGCAGAAGCCCCAGCAAGTTGAACGGCTCTGAAATCACTTTAAGGAAAAACAGCCTTGGAACTGACCCCCTGCCCCCTACTGGCGCTCCTGAGCTTAGAGCAGGGATCCCGCCCTGATCAGCTACCCCCCTCTAGGCTGGGATCCTTTCTGTCTCTAAAGGCCCTCTGCAAGGCTTTGCTCTGACGTCATCAGGGCATCCTGCCGGGACTGGTAGTGGGCTGGGGCAGCAGAGGACAGTTGTGGACTTGACTGTTTCTTGGAGAGAAGCCTGATGTGGAGAGAGCCTGATGGATACGTGGACTGCATGTTTGAGTTCACACACACTGGACAGGTTCACTTGTATACTACCTTACACATATATCATTAAGGGAGAGTGCTTGTGTGACAGTGTGTTGAGAGTCTGTGTGCTTGCTCATGTGTTTGAGTGTAAGAATTAACATGGATGCTGCTGCATTCTGTTTCCCTGGAAGGCTCTATCACAATAGGCTTTGGTGCTATTCAAAATGAACAGAATGCAGCAGGTTCCAAATAATTGTGTCATGAACGTGAAATGTGTGTCTTCTTTTCCATCTGATAATTAAAGGTCTGTTTTCCTGTGAGCGTGGGACTAGGGATGACTTGGAACACGGAGGCTACTGGATTTTCCTTATCCAGCGAAGTAATTGTGCAGAAGTGTGGGGCTATGACATCACCAAGCAGTCTGGCCAAGTGGGCTGACAGAGGCAGCTCCGTTTGGAAGAACTCTCCAGTCAGACCTTCGGGCAGCAGCTGCTAGCTCTGCTTGCCTCAAGTCAGGGGAAGCTGGGCTGCTCAGTCTGTTCCAGAGCGAACCAGTTCCAGAAAGCACTTGAGACGTTTCCTGAAAGCAGGGACTGGCGAAGAGGCCAAGGACGCTCCGGGGGCTGGGCTTTCTCTTCTAAGCAGAAGTGCAGAGGCCCTGGGTGTCCCGCCAGGTAGAGGGATCCAGCTTCCACGAGTCTTCCAGGTTTGTGTATTCATTCCTCTTGAACTCCAGGCCGGCGTAACAGTGTGACCTCCGGTGCCCCTTAGTTCATTCAATTGCCGGAGTCATGGGTGAAGAAACTCTTGATAAAAAAAATTTCGAGAGAAGAGTTCTGATGAGTTTATGGTCGAAACAGGAAGTGTTGGTTTTATTAGCGAGGAGAAGTCCCAAGCGGTCCTAGGGCTCAGCAAATGCCTCTTCCCCTCCATCCCTTCCAGACCAGGGCAGGCACCACCACCACCATTGTAGTCCTGTTCCATCATCATGTAGTCACTACTGCTGCGAACCAATACAGAAAGCTTCCTCCTTAGTCTTGCCTGATTCGGATCTGTCTGGACCAGCCCGGACATGTTGGATAAAAGGGGGCTAGAACTCCGAAAATAATACTGTAGGTTTCTTTACAGCCAGAGCGGCGATCGCACCGCGCCACACTCAGGAACCCCGGGGCCTGCCCCTGGGAACCCCTGGGAACCCCTGCACCCACTTGCTAGCATCCACGACACTGACCCTCCGCTGGCGGTCCACTCTCCTTCACAGTACCCAGTGCAGGTCGCCCGAACTCAGAGACGTTTCCTCCCCGGTGAGCCAAGGGTGTGCTCTGGAAACACAGGTCTCAGCCTGGTCGGGCGAATCTGCCCAGACTGTGGTCTCCAGTTCTAGTGACTTGGACCATGCTGAGAAGTAACTCCGACTCAAAACCTCCCAGTCCAATTTTCCTCCCGGACCCCACAACTCCAAACTCGTTTACTAGGTCTGCACGCAGGCTCTCAACTCCCTCTGCATCCTCAGCGGTGGTGTGTGTTTGTGTGTGGGGGGGGTTGGGGGGGTGTCAGGCAGGGGTTCTGCTGTGGTGGCTGCGATGGAAGCCGGAAGTCTGGTCCTTGTTTCTGCAGAGCGCTCTGCAGAGAAAAGGGACTTAGGTCTTAACGGAAGGAGGCTTCCGAGTTTTCAGTCTCATCCCTTCACCTTGCCAGAGACACACGGCGGCGAGGGAAGGCCAGTTCAAGTTTCTGGGACTCCGCCCGAGGATCACTGCCCTGAACTGCCCGCCCCGGGGAACCCAGTCTCTGTAGGGAAATCAGACGCTGTTACACGCCAGGCCGACCGGGCCTTGGGGGCATATATCCATATATTTATGATTTCTAATTTTATTATAAAATAAAAGCAGAAATATCTCCCGACGAACATTCACATGAGGGCATAAAAGGGGGAAGGCAAGTCTACGGCTGGGGAGGCACTCTGGGCTGGGAGCAAGGAGGCCACAGTCCCAGGAGGAAGAGGAGAACCGGCGCGGTGGGAAAGAGGGAGCGAGGGAGGTGGAAAGAGGGAGAGGAAGGGAAGGAAGGAGAGAGAGAGAGGGAGAGAGAAGAGGGAGAGAGGGAGAGGGAGAGGGAGAGGGAGAGGAAGAGAGAGAAAGGAAGGAAGGAAGGAAGGAAGAAAGAAAGGAAGGAAGGAAGGAAGGAAGGCTTCCGGGGTGCAGCCCTTTCTGGTTCACTTAT